TGCAGCTCTGTACTCTTGTGTTCTATAAAATGATTTACCCTTTCTCAGTCTATTTTTTCTGATGATTGTGTTGGTTAAATGAAATCTTTCCTTATTAGAGAAAACGTAGGTCTTGATCAAAAAAAAAAAAAAAAAAAAAAAAAGAAAACGTAGGTCTGTTGTGATATGGCTTACACTCTCTAGGTTCATTATTCTTATAGGTTTTAGTTAATAAGTCCATGTTTCATTTCATCTTTCTCATCTTGCGTATTTAACACAGATAAATATGATTAAAAATTCGTTATAAATTTAAGATTCGAGTATTATTTTGTCATTTACAAATCGAACAAATAAAGCCTCGCTTTCGTATTTGACCTAACAAATCTATTTAATCATTTTCATAGATAACGTTTTTGAGTATTATTCTGTCATTAACAAATCGAACAAATAAGCCTCGCGTTCGTATTGACCTAACAAATCTATTTAATCCTTTTCGTAGATAACGTTTCCGTATAACAGTTATATAATCATGAATTAATTACTACTAAAACCAAATCATTTGCGACTCTGTACCAAAACTACAACAAGCGAGCACAGTAGAAAGCATAGGCAATGTTATTATAGATCGAATGAGCACAAATATCTCGGATTGTTGACGTGGCATAATACATTTGAAATCCCGCCAAAACCCCTCAGATATTTTTATAGATTTCGCGCGAAATTGAACTTTTCAGTAAAATCCGTTTCCACGAGATATTTATGACCCTCACTCCAATCACAAACCGTATAACAAACACGTCGTACAATATTCCTTTCAGCTCACCGTCTCTCTCCAAATTCAAAACCCTACGAGAACTTCCTCAAGGTGATTCCCTCTGATTATCTTCGTTTCTTCCGTTTTATATCTCAAATTCCTCTCGATTGTGTTCATATTAATCTCTGTTTGTAGGTGATAGCTGTTTCTGCGCTTAGTTTTTTTTTTTCTATTCGTCGTCTTTCCTGTATCTCCAAACTTTGTTCGCTGATCTAGTGATATAACTGCAGATTCGATCATGAAGGTTGCTAAATCAAACACTGAAACCAGGAGCTCCAAGTAAGTCTCAGCTAAACCGTTCGATTCTTCCTTCTTCTAGTTAGTTCCTAGATCTCAGTGTTACAGATCGTTTTATATCGTTCGTCACTTGATTCTCGTTGTTTATAGGCTCTCTGTGAACAAGATGCCTGCTAAGGTAGGCAAAGCTGCTGCTAAGGATCCTAACAAACCGAAGAGGCCAGCCAGCGCCTTCTTCGTTTTCATGTAATCATCGCGTCTTATATTTCATATTTCTGCGTTTGTAGCTTTAATGGATAGTGTATTTTTTCCAGATCTGCTATCTTCGAGTCACGAACATTTTGATCATACTAATTTTAGGTTGCGATTGTTCTTACTGTGAGCCTTTGTTAGCACTTGCGCTGATTGTACAGATCCTATTAGTGAATTCTAAATCGATTTGGCCTAACTTATGTGTGCTAATACTGTTTCTGGCTTTGTTATTATTAAAGGGAGGACTTCCGTCAGAGTTACAAGAAGGATCATCCCAATAACAAATCTGTTGCTGCTGTGAGTTGTTATTTGTTTGATATGTTGTTACAATATGCTTAGTATCTGAATCTATACTGTTGACACACTTCAATGGGATAATAACAGGTTGGGAAAGCTGGTGGAGCAAAGTGGAAATCCTTGTCTGACACTGTGCGTTCTCTAATCTATAGCTATCTTAAGTGTTAATATATGCTTTGACTATATCTTAATCTATTGAGCTGTATAAATATTGATAGGAGAAGGCTCCCTACGTGGCTAAAGCTGACAAGCGCAAGGTTGAATACGAGACGAACATGGAAGCCTACAACAAGGAACTGGTATGTTTTGGTTTTGAGTAGAGTAGACAACATAGCTAAATTTGAATTAGTAGGTGGTTATTCAACGGTGGTAAGTGGTTATGTGTTGGTGTTTACAGGAGGAAGGTACGAAGGAAGGCGAGGAGTCTGACAAGTCAGTGTCTGAGGTTAATGATGAGAATGATCCCGAGGTTGGGTGTGATGAGGTTAGTTGTTGTGATTCTTTTAATTTATTTTACATCATAATGTATGTAACTCTGTTAATGGTTGCCTCTTTAGTATGCTTGCATTAGTCTCATATAAAAATCTCTATACCAACTTTGTTTGATATGTAGGAGTAAGATGGGGACTAAGAAGTTGGTGCTGGTAACGTAGGAGGCTGCAGCGATCTCCCTGATGTTTACTATCTTTTTTTTTCTTTTCGTCTTAAAATGTTAACGAGACTGGTTAGAATGAAACTACTTTATTTTAAGGGTAATGACAAAAGTGAATGTAGTACTTGTTTATATGATGAATGAGATACTTGCAGCTTTAAATGAGTGTTATTTTTATTCCTCTACGTTTGTTGTTATTATCTTAATTCTCTTTTGAATCTCTCTTGCTTGTAGTTGTAGTGAAATGATGATAGGTTGATTATCGCTTATTATAGTGAGATTTATGATCATGGATTATACTAGTGTTAGATCTCTATCTGCTGTCAATAGTATCATGAGTAATAGTATGGGGTTTCTGGCTTTTAATCAAAGTGTTCCGAAAAGTGTAGTTAATATTTTACTATTGGAATGTGAACATTCGAGTTTGATTCTGTCATTAAAAGCTAGAATAAATACAATTAGGGTTTCTTTACAAAACTTAGGGATTAAAGCATGAGCAGGTGAGAGACCCAATGACTACAAAAACCAAGGGAATCAATGACATGGCAGTATAAAATGGAAATCCCGCCTAAACCCCTCGGATATTTATTTTTTTATAAAGATTTCGGTCGAAATCGAATTTCAATTTAGATAGTATATTAATTTTTGGGGCAGAAGATATTTACAACACCCACTAACCCTTTCTCTCTTCTCTTATTATTAGCCTCTCGCTCGAATCACAAAAACACGTAGTATTCCCTTTTACTCCCTGTCTCCTCTCTCCCCCTAATTTCAAACCCTAGCAGATCCTCGTCAAGGTATTTTCCTCCGATTTTTTCTGGTTTGCATCTCGATTTTGTGCATATCGATCTATATAGGTGTTAATCGCTTGGTTTTGATTGCTTTTCTTATTTGTCTTCGCTGATCTAGTGAATTTTTCACCTGCAGAATCGAGACCATGAAAGGAGGTAATTCGAAGTCTGATTCCAGAAACTCCAAGTAAGTCTCAGCTTAGATAAATCGATTCTTATTTTTGGTCGTCTAGTTAGCTTCCAGCTCATAGATCTCGGGAATTTCAGATCGTATATTCTTATCGCGTTTCTTACTTTTATATATTGTTTGTTGTTGATAGGCTCTCTGTGACGAAGAAGCCTACAAAGGCAAGCAAAGCTGCTGCTAAAGATCCTAACAAACCTAAGAGGCCAGCCAGTGCTTTCTTCGTTTTCATGTAAATCATCAAATCTTAATCTATGTGTAATGAAGTATATTAGCAACCTTAGTGTGCTATCTTCGAGTCAGAATAATATTTGATTTAGTTTATAATTGGTAATAGTTTTGTTTCTGGCTTTGTTATTATTAAAGGGAGGACTTCCGTCAGAGTTACAAGAAGGATCACCCCAACAACAAATCTGTTGCTGCTGTGAGTTGTTAATCTTCTTTTTTGCTTTGGATTTGACGTGTTTATTCCATAGGCTAGCTTTATACGGACAATGAACTTTGAATGGTTAAACAGGTTGGAAAAGCTGGTGGAGAGAAATGGAAATCATTGTCTGACGCTGTACGTTCTCTAATCTATTACTTAAGTATGATCTTAAAATGTTACATACTTGCTTGAGTATTTCTTGACCTTTGAGTTATGCAATGTTATAGGAGAAGGCTCCCTATGTAGCTAAGGCTGATAAGCGCAAGGTTGAGTATGAGAAGACCATGAAAGCCTACAACAAGAAGCTGGTAAAAATTTGTGTTTAGTATACAACATTAACTAGTCTCTTTAATCAGCAGAGCAGTGTTCTTTGATATTCGAGAGTGGTATTGATTGACATGATATTGATGTTGTTCGTGTTTTCAGGAGGAAGGTCCAAAAGAGGACGAGGAATCTGATGACAAGTCCGTTTCTGAGGTTAGTGAAGAAGAGGATGCGGATGATAAGAGTGACGAGGTTAGTTTTTTTATTCTCTTAAGTTGTTTTACATTGTTATCTGTAATTTGATTGGTATATGACTCAGTTTAGGTGCTTCTTTAGTTCATCTGTATCATTGTCATGATTTGGTTACTTCTTTAGTTTATTTGCATTACATATCATATAAAAACCTCGGTACTAACTCTGTTTTATGTGTAGGAGGAAGACGATTGACTAAGGAGTTGAAGTTGGCAGCATTATATAAAGGACGCTGCAAGGATCTCTCTGATGCTTTTATCTTTCTCTCTCTCTAAAAATGTTAACGAGGCTGGTTGAAATGGTTTTTTTCTGTTTTTATTTTTACTGATGTTTCTATTTAGTAAGTTACCACTATCTCCCACTGATTCTGATTCTACTGGTAATGGAAAAATCTTTTAGATGGCCAACTTGATATTTGCAGCTCTATATAGCTATTTTTTATAGCTCTATGCTCCTTTTAACCTCCACTAAATGTTGAAAATTTTGCTTATTAGAGTTTGATTCAGAGGATTCTAGTGTTAGACTAATGAATTATCAATACAATCCACACTTAATATGCTAAAGCAGTAAATATCCTTTCCTAATCGTATCACATCGTATCACAGAGGATTCTAGTTATTATGATCCTTGTTAACAAAAACAAAGAAGAAGTTACTATGATCTTATTTGTCCTGTTGTTTTTTCAATCTAATATTAGAATATAGAATCAGATCCATGTTTCTATGATCACATAATTTGAATTTAATTTTTATGATCAATTACAATCCAATTTGTATCCCGGAATCACCTCTACTAAACTCTTAACTGAGGTCAATCAAATAGGACAAATTGATCTCTAGTCTAGAGCTGTTGCCTAAAACGTCTTTACTTTCTTACTTTTAACGATGATAAATAAATTAAAGATTTATTTGATAAATAAGAAAGGATACATTATTTCTCATATTGTCTGCATCGTATAATCATATGTATTGTGAAAAAAAAAAAAGAGAAGAAAGCAAAGTAGTGAAAGATAGATGGAGAGAGGGAGCCAAAACGATGAGTATGATGGCAGAGTAATGACGGAGGAGCAAATGGAGATTCTCCGTAAGCAGATCGCCATTTACGCCGTCATTTGTGGCCAGCTTGTTTCCCTACACGAGTCTTTATCTTCTAAACTTCCTCTCTCACCAGGTACTACGTTTAAACATTGAACTTATCAAGATGTTACTTTAATACATTACGTCATACGAAACTATATTTTTTATTTGATTTGGGTATAATCGCCACAAGAGCGGTCTAGCGACTAACCGTATGCGGTTAGGATAATACATATTTGTACCCCGAAAAAAACTTATAGCTAACATAACTGTATTTACTCTAGGAGTGGATCCAACCGGAGGTGGATACTTTGATGTGGCATCGCCAAGCAGTTATAAAATATCACATCGTCATCGTTGGTCTCCGACATCGATGCAACTTCAGATTCTTGAACACATTTACGTGGAAGGAAGCGGAACACCAAATCCACAGAGGATTAAAGAGATCACGTTGGAGTTGTCTCAACACGGACAGATCACGGAGAAAAATGTATATAACTGGTTTCAAAACCGACGAGCTCGGTCCAAACGAAAGCAGTCTCAGTCTCAGTTTCAGGCTACGACAACGACTCTTCAGACCGTTGACGCGGTTGCGACAACTGAGGAGAACAGTTGTGGTGATTCTGGAGAGTTTGAGTCTTATGACCATATCCTCTTTCCGAGTGCTGACTTAGGTAATATCTTAAAATATAGTTTGAGCTTTTTTCCATATGATTTGGCGTTATGCATTGGTTATTCTCGTTGGGTTCGGTTCATAGGTTTTTTGAATTTTGGAAATTTTATTTCGGTTTGGTTTACGATAATGTTCTTTAATATTTGTAGTTAACGATATCTTTTGTGGTTTCAGGGATTGAGCATTTGCTAGATGGTGGATGATTTCCGGAGAGATAAATTTCGTAGTATAAAGAAAATATGATGAGCTTTGTAGTCTCTTCTCTGTTTTCATCAAACTATAGCAATATTTGGTTGCATTAATAAATGAAATTTACGTGTGTGAGACCTTTAACAAGTCTATTTATGGTACACTTTTGTCTTTTTGAATACATGTTCTTGTGTTGTATGCTGAGCCAGCAGCTAATGACTCTGAATCAAGCTCATCAGAGAATGAAAGTAGCTCTGAAGAAGAAGAGAACTCACTTCAGGAAAACACACACAAAGTCAAGAGACTTAGAATTTGGAAGGATATGAGCTGGCAAGATATAGAGTCAGATATGTGACGTATGCTCTTGGCTCTCCTCAAGCATGGTGCTTAACTCTCTATAAAACATACGTTTTATTTAATTAGAAATTCTTACTTCTTGATAGACAAAGATCAGAAACTTTAAAATATGAACTTAAATCCTGATTGAAACCGGTTTTTAGGGTATTATAAATATCTTATTATATAAAGTATATAACCTAATTTTTGGGTTCCCTTCTCGTTTTCCTTGTCTCATTGTTGCATCTTCACCCAAGTACTAGTTCATATCTTCACATGGCAACTCCAAACGGCACAATGTTCAAACATGACTAGTCACAAACCAGTCCACAATACACCTTTCATCAAAACCGTGACCACAAGGCAAGATCACTAGTCTTTCTCCGTTTTTAAACTCCTCCAGACAAATCATGCACATCATATGAAATAAGAGCTAATCACCTTATCTTCGGTATTATATACTTTCTTTTAAACTCAAAATAATAGAGATATATTTTTTCACAAAACCTAAATATATTATTGTTTTTATATATTTTATTAAGTGATTTAGTAATATTTTAAAAAATATAATTACTATTGAGAAGGGTCTAGTGTATTTTTTTTTATATATCGCGCTTTACATTTTTTATATATTTATTCTGGACTGGTTTCTTTTAGCATCTCCCTCAAGAAAAAAAGAATAATAATCTAAAAATCAAATAATTTTACACAATCTGTCAAATATTTACATAAACCTCTAGTCTAATGAAAACTTTAATAATGTGTTTCCAGAAAAAGGAAACTTTAATAATATCACGTAGCAAAACAAGTAGTTTTTTCGTCGTCACATGGACCGTCGGTGGGCTTGCAGAAAGCCCATTTACTAGCAAAGCTAATAAAACAAAACTTAAAACAAGCTTCTTTTTTTTTTATGGACATAGCGAAGACGACGGTCCATAAAAAGAAGCTCCGTAATTTTTGGATCAGAGCCTCGGTGGGCTTACTTTATTTTTGTTTGCATCTGCTCGAATCGGGAATTAACCACTGGAAAAGGAGAATTGTTCGAAGAGGATTTTTGATCGAATTGGGAAAACTCTGATCTGAAGGGTATTGGGGGAGGGGGTGAAATGGCGAACATGGATCAATTCGAGGCCTACTTCAAGAGAGCAGATTTGGACGGAGATGGTAGAATCAGTGGAGCCGAAGCNTTTTTGTTTGCATCTGCTCGAATCGGGAATTAACCACTGGAAAAGGAGAATTGTTCGAAGAGGATTTTTGATCGAATTGGGAAAACTCTGATCTGAAGGGTATTGGGGGAGGGGGTGAAATGGCGAACATGGATCAATTCGAGGCCTACTTCAAGAGAGCAGATTTGGACGGAGATGGTAGAATCAGTGGAGCCGAAGCTGTTGGCTTCTTTCAAGGATCTGGTTTGCCTAAGCAAGTTCTCGCCCAGGTATACTAATATCTCTCCTTGGATCTCTGATTGTTTCTGGAGAGGTTTTTGAGATGTCTAGAGAAAGATCTGATTTGGATTTTGATTAGTGGAAGAGAAACTGCTAAGAATTTTTCTCAAATGGTTTGTTTTAGAATAGTCACTGGTAGATGAAGAGGGAACTGTTTTTGGTTTGCTTGAACTTGCCTCTACATGAGGACGTCATTTTTTTTTTTGCATAGCTTGACGAAATTTGTTAGTTGATTATCGAAATGTCAGTTACTTTGTGGCTATGCTTTTAGTCTTGTTGCCTGTGATTGTTCCTTTGACATTTTTTTTTAAGAATATTCTCTAGGAATGCAGTTTCTTGTCAATTCACATTATTGTACATGTGTGTAGGGATACAAGCCTTTTTTTTTTCCTTCTTCGGTTTACCAGTAGTTATGCATTTGAATCTGGAAACTTTATTGCATATAATTATCCTTCTTTGGTTTACGAGTAATTATGTATTTGAATCTGGAAACTTTCTTGATTAGAATTGTCCTTCTTTGGTTTACCAGTATTTATGTATTTGAATCTGGAAACTTTCTTGCTTTATAACTGTCCTTTGGTTTACCAGTATTTATGTATTTGAATCTGGAAACTTTCTTGCATTGAATTTTCCTTTGGACGGATTCCATTAGGTGACGTTTGCTATTTAAAATTGTTACCTGATCAGTTGTGTTCTGCATTTGTAGATATGGTCGCTTTCTGATCGGTCACGCAGTGGTTTCCTTGGTCGGCAAGACTTTTATAATTCACTGAGACTTGTAACAGTTGCACAGAGCAAGAGAGACCTCACACCTGAGATTGTTAATGCTGCACTCAATACTCCTGCTGCTGCCAAAATACCACCGCCTAAAATTAATCTTTCAGCTGTTCCTTCACCCCAACCTAACCCTGGTGGTACCACAGCCCGTCCGGTTTCCTCACCAGGTAATCAAAATGTGGGGTTTAGAGGACCAGGGGCTCCAAATGCTAATGTCAACCAGAATTATTTTCCACCTCAACAAAACCAACAAGTGAGACCAAACCAGGGAGTATCTGGGGTGGCTTCACTTAGACCAGCTGCTGGTCCAGAGTATAGACCAAGTTCTGTACCAGGTCAATTTCAGCCAGTTCCTGGTGGTAGTGTTGCTCGTCCTCCTCAGGCAGTACCCACTAGTGCATCTGGTCCTGGTAGTTCAGCGTTAAATCTTAATAATTTGTATGCTGGGAACACTAGCGGATACTCGTCTGGCTTTGGAGGGGGCAGCTTAGCAGCACCTTCTCCTGGCTTAAAACCAGATTCACAAGTTGGTCCAAAAGCGCTGGTTGTATCTGGCAATGGAGGTGACATGTTTTCCTCCTTCCAGCAAAAACCAGAACCCACTCTGAGTAATTCTTCAATGAGTTCAGCTATTGTTCCGGCTGGAACCCAACCTCCACCAAAGCCTAATGCTCTGGATTCCCTACAGAATACTTTCTCAATGCTGCCTGCAGGAAACCAGCCAAGGCCGGCAGCAAGCTCACAGCCGCCTGCGGTGTCTTCACAAGGTCCATCCTCCGGTTTGCCACGTGGAAGTGCACTTGGGTCTGCCCATTCAACTCCTGCTGGAAATAATCAGCCTCCGTGGCCAAAAATGAAACCATCCGATGTCCAAAAATACTCAAAGGTATTTATGAGTGTTGATACTGACAAGGATGGGAAGATCACTGGTGAGCAGGCAAAAAATCTTTTCTTAAGCTGGAGGCTACCCAGGGGTAAGGATCTTTGATCTTCCTTTCCACTTTACATGAAGAATATTATTAACTTAACATGTTCTTTTTACTCGCTTTCAGACGTATTGAAGCATGTGTGGGAATTATCTGATCAGGATAATGATACTATGCTTTCTCTGAGGGAGTTCTGCATTTCACTGTATTTGATGGAGCGGTATAGAGAAGGCCGTCCTCTCCCAACATCACTTCCTAGCAGCATCATGTTTGATGAAACACTATTATCTATCTCAGGTGCACCTAATCAGGGTTATGCAAATGCTGGATGGGGACCTGGTCAAGGTATTGTTCATATTTCGTGCGTTTTAACGATCTTCTCCTTTTTCCTAGTACTTCGCTATAAGTCATTTTTTGCTATTGCAAGGTTTCGTACAGCAGCCAGTGATGGGTGCGCGGCCAATCACTCCACCGACTGGCATGAGACCACCAGCTCCTACGCCTGTCCCTCACCCTGGCAGTGGTATAGCACCTAATCAGCAAAGGAATCAAGCGCCAGTTATGGATGATCCTTTTGCCAGTCACCTAGGTAACGGACATTCTGCGAGCTCAAATGTTCAAGAACCAGCAACTGATGGAGAAAAGGTAATCATTTACATATTCACTTTAATTTTGAAGGAAAAAAATCCTTTCAAAGCTTTAGATAAGTTAGTATTCCATGCATTTTCTTGGATGCTTGTAAAACCAATGTTTCTAATCTCTGTAGGTTGATGAAAAGAAGAATGTATATATGGACTCCAGAGAGAAACTTGAATACTACCGAACTAAAATGCAGGATATTGTGAGTACTCCTTTTATAAATTACGATTGTTATTTGGTTAGAAGTAGTGGTGAGATCTAGTTCTTATGATGCCTTTTTTTCTTATATTTTTCCTCTCTCTGTCAGGTCTTGTACAAAAGCAGGTGTGACAATAGATTAAATGAGATCTCTGAAAGGGCTTCCGCTGACAAGCGTGAGGTGCTTTTCACGTAAATAATTACTTTCTCATTTCTGTGAGGCTATCTCTGTCTTATTCCAAAACAATTTCTACTGCAGGCTGAAACGTTGGCGAAGAAGTACGAGGAGAAGTATAAGCAGGTTGCGGAACTAGGGTCAAAATTAACTATTGAAGAGGCCAGGTTCCGTGAGATTGAGGTATGGCTAATTCCTATGGCAACACCTAATGTACTTTAAAGCCATATATTTTTCTTCATTTCTTCTATGTGCTTCTTTCCAGTCTTTATCATTGTTCTTTCTTTTCTCTTTCTCTCGGTCTTGTACTGGCCTCTTATTCTATGGCCCAGTTCTCTTTTTTTCCAACTTGCTGAAGTTTTGCTAACCTATTTCAGGGGCGGAAGATGGAATTGAGTCAAGCAATTGTGAACATGGAGCAGGGTGGTAGTGCTGATGGTTTACTTCAGGTACATGCTTTCTATGTTTATCTGATGCTTAAACTATTGATTATCTGTTGTACGTACCTTATTTGATCTCTTACTGGGAAATATATAGGTCCGGGCTGATAGGATACAATCAGATCTCGAGGAGCTGATGAAGGCTTTATCTGAACGTTGCAAGAAACATGGGTTGGAGGTTAAGTCTAAGGCCCTTGTAGACCTTCCAGCTGGTACTATAATGATCCTGTCGCCTTGTGACTTCTTGCTTTCTCTGTAGATGAATGCAAATTACATGTATTTTGTAAACAAACAAATCATTTTGAAGCTGTTAATGTTGTGACTTACAGGTTGGCAACCTGGAATTCAAGAAGGGGCAGCTCTTTGGGATGAAGAATGGGATAAGTTTGAAGATGATGGTACAATGTTTTTTCCCTAGAGTTCTGTTACTTAAACATTTAGATTTCTATAGTTAAGCACATAACAAGACATTAACTGATAATCCTCCCACTGTTAGGATTTGGCAATGAGATTACGTTCGACAAATCAAAAGAGCAAAACGCGTCTGGTGAGAAGGAAAACGGTACGGTGGACGATGGTAGTGTACCACCTGATTCTCCGACTCATTTAGATGAGCATTATGGACCATTCTCAGAAACCTCAGACCGCCACCACAGTGATGATGAATCAGTCAGAAGTCCTAGAGACAGTCCTGTCTCCAGGTCTGCTACTGAGGTCCCGTCTCCAGATTACGCTGGTGGAAAGAGTTCTGAATACTTCGATGACTCGAATTGGGCAAGTGCGTTTGACACTAATGATGATGTGGATTCAGTCTGGGGATTTGACGCATCAAAAAGCCAGGTTAACACAACAATTTCTTAGTCACGTTTCCACAGTCTTCCAAGCTAACCAGTACAATATTGGCATTTTTGCAGGATGGAGATTATTTTGGATCTGGTGGGGACTTTGGTGGAAACTCACCAAGAGCAGATTCTCCAAGCTCAAGAAGCTTCGCCAATCAGAGAAAGGGCCATTTTGCATTTGATGATTCAGTCCCCAGCACTCCACTCTCAAGATTCGGGAACTCTCCCCCTCGCTACAGCGACGCATCAACAAGAGATAACAACTTTGACAGCTTCTCCAGATTCGACTCCTTCAACGCCAGTGAAGCTGGCGCAGGTTTCTCCTCCTCCTCTCAGCCGGAGAGACTGTCTAGGTTTGATTCCATAAACAGCTCCAAAGACTTTGGTGGAGCTGCCTTCTCCAGGTTCGATTCAGTCAACAGTAGCAGAGACTTTGGTGGTCCGTCGCTTTCAAGATTCGACTCAGTGAATAGTACAAAGGATTTCAGTGGGAGCCATGGATACTCGTTTGATGATGCAGACCCGTTTGGTTCCACAGGTCCCTTCAAAGTCTCATCGGATGATCAAAGTCCCAAGAAAAAGTCTGATAACTGGAATTCCTTTTAGCCACAGTATATTATTACAAATCCATTTCTTCATTTATCCCCGGCTTTGATAAACTTGTGCTTGTTTCATAAAAAAATCATTGTATTTTTTTCCCGTCTGGCTTTGGATGAGAGACGATAGCGTTAGACTATTTGTAAAGTTTGTCTTCGTATTGGTTTACTACTGTATCTCTTTTGTGTTCTTGTGAATTCATTTGATCAAAAAGAATATTTGTTTTTGGTGAAAGACTCGGGAAAAATCTTGTACACGTTCGAAACAGAGACTGTGTTTATACTATTTGATCTTCCTTTTGCTCAGTGTCTGTAAGATATTATGGTAAAATTTAACCAGATTGAAAAAAAAAAATCTGAGTTTACACCGAATATGGCACATTCTATGTCTCCTCACTCGTCTTTGAGGTCGACAATATTCTGCTTCCCCTGAGAATCCACATTGACCAGTCTTTTTACTTGTTTGTGAACTGCTCAAAGGCAGATAGCATGGATGATCGAGTGTTGGCTATTTCCACAAGAGTTTCAAGAGCTGTCCCAAAGCAAAACAAAAACAAATAAAGTTCCAACTCTTTATCTGTGTGGTGATGATGAATGTGTCTTACCAGTTTCAAATGAGAGTTGAGCACCACGCAGCTTAGGCGAGACTAGACCTCCGAATACCGATAGAGACTTGGCTCGTTCTCTCTTAATCTGGAATTTTAAAACACATGTTGGTGCTATTCTAAAAACAAAGAGAGTTTGTTGAAAAAGAATAAATGATTGCCACACCTCTTCATCAGCTGCTAACACGGTTTCACCCATGCCTGATGGTTTCTCCTCTATTATATTAACATATAAGTAAGTGATCACAGAGAGAGAAACAAAGTGCACAGAAACAACCAACAGATAATTCTTGTTCTTACCAAAAACGCCTCCTCGATGACGTAGGTGTGGGCTACGAGGTGAGCCAATCTCAGAATCTGCATCAGTAGAAAAGTCTTTGCCTTTCGCACTACCGCCTTTGGAAGCCCACTTGGATAAAGCAAAACGAGGTACTGATCCCAAAGATTCAACTACAAGAGAGTTCATAATTTAGTAAATAAATAGCTATAAGATTACCTACCATATATTCATAACATATTAAAATGAACCAATTAACTATAACCTTGAGACAATACTTTATGTGAGTTTAAAACCCGAAAAGCCAAACGTACCATCATGTTCAGTCACTTGGAATGTAGAA